ATCCCAGACGAGATGGACCGACTCCCTCAAGGAAACCACGGGCTTGAGTTTGCAAGAGCTGAGCAGGGCTGTTGAGGAAAGGACATTTCTGAGGTGGCTCATTCACGGGATCACCACAAGTCGGAAGCAATTTGAGGGCACAGAACCACAAAAGTTCATTCAGCAGAGTCGATTGCATGCAAATTGGCACCTTCTTCCGTCCACTTTGTTGTGATTTTCCAGGCCTGGCAAATACCTCAGGCTTGCAGCCCCTCCATGTTTTGTTTGCTGACCGAGAGCTGCGTTTCTTTTCCTGTGGCTTTTTTTGTTTGTTTGTTTGAATTGTTCCATTGTCAATTTTCATAACTTTTGTAAGTTGCATTTGGGGACAATGAAGTGGAAATGAATCAGTGAAATAATGAGATGTTCCTCATGAGCCTGCCTTCATTTTACTGAGAAGGAGGCGAGTCTCTTCCACAGAGCTCAGAAATGCTCTTTTTCATCATCTTTCCTTTATTTTTATTTTTTGGTTCTCCTCCGATTAGAGCTCCCAGAATCCCCCAACCAGCAAAGGATTCTGGGAACCGTAGTAAAAAAAAAAGGGTACGTAAAGTTACCAAGCTCCGCTCTTTCCACAAAACTGGGCGAACTCGGCCACGGAAGCGTCGCCTCAGCTTGGCTCCCGCCAAAACTTCAAAGGGAGGCGCTTTTAACGGGAGGAGTAGGGATTGGAGCTCCGTGGGCCGAAGGGCGGGGCGAAGAAACGCACAGGGCCCAATCCAAGCTGAGGGCTTAAACAGCCGCCCGTTCTGCCTTCCAGCCCGCCTCCCCCGTCGCCTGGGCAACAAATCCCGCCCTCTCTTTTTCATCTCTTTTTCCCCCTCCTCCTCTGGGCGGGTCAAGGGAAGGCGCACTTTCTCCCCTCCTTGGGGGGGAACAGCCCCCCCTCCTGTCCCAATATAACTGGGAGCAAAGAGCCAAGGTTGGGGATCCTGTGTCCTCCAGGTGGACTCCAGTTCCCATCAGCCTCAGCAAAGGCTTTGGGGGACAGTGATGGGAGTTGTAGTCCAGGAGGATTTGGTACGCCTTGCTTTCTTTTTTCCACCCCTTTTCTTTTTGTTTTTTAAAGGGCAAAAACAAACAAAGGGGAAAACGTTTTGGAAAAGTTACTTATTTTCTTTCCTTACCCCCCTCCCTGAAGACCTGCTGGGTACCTTAGTGGTTAAGGTCCCTGGAGGTTGGGGTTTTAATTCCCAAGGGGCTGGCCTCCGTGACCCATAGGGTCCCCCGTGAGCTCTGCAGCTGGAGGATGATGAGGATCAGCAGCAGCAGCAGCACCGCCCCTCCTTGGTTCCAAGCAAGGGTGACCCATTTTTGGCCTGTAAAAGGTGCGCTTTTAGGGCCCTTTGCCCCTAAAACGGAAGCTCACCCCCCCTCCGTCCTTCGGCTCCTACTTCAGACTTTCTCCTGGCATTCAGGGAGGGTTTACATAGGGCCGAGGCAGGCTGCCGTAGGTTCAGCCGTGCTAGGTCATCCAGGGATTGGGTCTAAGGAGAGCCAGAGAAGGGTTTGGGGGCAAAACGCCCGCTGGCTCCCCTTCGGCACTGGTCACAGAGTCCGTTGGAGGAAGAGCCGCGATTTCCTTCACCCGGACAATTTGATTTCGATGCTTGCCTGGAGCAGGGGGTTGGACTGGATGGCCTCTCAGGCCCCTCCCAATGTACCTTTTCTCTGGTTTCTGTGATTTCTTCTGCTGTTTGGCAGCCGGGACTTCTTTGCAGGGCATCCTGGGTGGTGGCTCCTCTGAACTGCTGCTGAGCTGCTCCAGGCCGGGGAGGACGGCTGAGAAGGTTTGGCGGCTGATGGCCAACAGGGAAGAAGAATTGCTCTCTGCTTTGCTGTGGGCTCCTGCGCTCACATCAGCCGTCCGATGCGAGCGCTGGAGCCCACTGCAAAGCAGAGAGCGGCTCTGGGGGCTTATATACTGCCCCGTAGTGCTTAAGCCACTCTCTGGGAGGTTCACAAGTTACAGGCTACACATCCCACCCACCCCATTCCTCAACGAGCTGGTTATTCAGTTTACTGACCTGGGAAGGATGGAAGGCTGAGTGAACCTGGAGCCGGCTATCTGGGGTTGAACCCTGGGTTATAAGCAGAGTTTTAGCTGCAGAGCTGCAGTTAAACCACTGCATTGTGAAGCTCCACAAAGTTTACGGTTGCGTACATAGGCAAATAGGGGTATCGACATTCACGTAACCTTGGATGAAGAAAGGTGGCCCTTCCAAGTGCGATTAAAATGCCTTTCTCCTTATCCACAGTCAGACAAGCCAATGAGGGAGGATTATGGGAGTTCAAGTCCAGCAGTTTATAGTGGGACCACATATCCCCTCTCCCTGGTCTACGTATCGCTTTCAAAGCCATAATTCTCCGATTTCGACATTTCAGGCTTCCGCTTTTGGCCCACCCGCCCCAAAGCACCAAAAATTAGAAATGAGAAGTGCTAGATGATGATTAATCACTATTGGTATACTTTGAACAGGTGTCGTCTGAGCCTATGGGTTTTTATTTGGATGTGGGCCTTATTGAGTTCAGAAAGGTAGATTTGGAAGTCGGGGGTCATAGCACTGGAAGCTCAAAAGTTAAATGTTTAGGGTTCGCGTGATACAGGGCTTATTCTAAGAAGTAAGAGAAGCAGAGGACTGTCTACGCAGGTTTTGCTCACCAAAAGCAGCCTATAAATGCAACTAATGGATACAGTGCGACCCCTGTATCCACGGGGTATCGGTTCCAAACCACCCCAGCAGATGCTGAAAAAATGTGGATTATAGCAAACACTATTTTAACAGGTAGGGGACATGGTGGCGCTGTGGGCTAAACTGCAGATGCCTGTGCTGCAGGGTCAGAAGACCAAGTAGTCGTAAGATCGAATCCACGCGACGGAGTGAGCTCCCGTCGCTTGTCCCAGCTCCCGCCAACCTAGCAGTTCGAGAGCATGCAAGTAGATAAATATGGACCATCCTCGGTGGGAAGGTAACAGCGTTCCGTGTCTAAGTCACACTGGCCATGTGACCACGGAAAGATTGTCTTCGGACAAAACGCTGGCTCTATGGCTTGGAAACGGGGATGAGCACCACCCCCTAGAGTCGAACACGACTGGACAAAAATTGTCAAGGGGGACCATTACCTTTTTATTTTAACAGCGAATACTATGCATAACTTTGTCTGCCTCCCTCTAGTGGCCAATTCTGGTAACTTCATCTTTGAAAATCTGTATTTCTTGGATGTTGGTCTTAATATTTTTAATATTATCAGACAGGGATAAGTGAATCAGAGGATACTGATCCGGCAGATAAATGGGTGCTACTGCAATATAAATCCTAACCATTAAACCATTACAGATAAAAACAACAGAACTCAGGGCAAGAAAGACCTGTATTGGCTCAGGAAACTGTATTTAACATCAGCAGCTCCCCGGTCATGCATTTAGGGCTTCTGTAAGCGGAAAACAGTGTGATTGTTTAACAGGCATCTTGATGCTTTACTGACATGAATGGATCCTGTCCCTCAGCACAGGTAACTCTCCACCTCTCCTGCCGCGTTCAGGCATACTGAAAGAGGCAAAAGTAAGCCAGCCGTAGCCTGTCTCCCAGAGAGCTTTGGGATCCCGATCAAAGAAGTGCTGAGCCAGCCATTCTCTTGTCCTCTTCGCTTTGCAGTGGGGGCAATACAGCTTCCTCGACCAATGCCCCTGTTCGGCCTCTCTCCTGTCATGGCTGCAGAGGCTGGCACTGTCATCTGTCCGGCTCCCGTCATCTGTCTGGCTCCTTTTGCGACTGGACCCCTTTGAATTGAAGGTGCCCAGGCCAGAGGAATTTTGCTCCCGGAAGATTTGCTGGCTGGTCTTGGGCTGGTGCTTCTTGATGGAAGGCGAGCTTGAGGGAGCTTTGGGACCTGCTTTCTCTTCCCCTCCAAAGAGCTTTGCGAAAAGACCACGAATGCTAAACTTGCCGCAACACCCAAAGCCACAAGGGGGATCTAGCAACAGGAAAGAAAGCGGTTATGATAGTTTTGAGTGGAAGTTGAGATAATAAAAATAGGGATATCTTTCATAGTAAAACAGAAAGAAAGAAATATAATTTTTGTGCACTATCCAAAGAGAAGGGTGGGTGATACTTCCATTAGATTACTAACATCTTACACACAGAGGCTAGTTATCAACTCTACCGGTGTTTTTCTGCAGCAGGGAATTACAGACCTGGGGGTGACACAGAAAAACCAGGTTGTTGTTATGTGCCACCAAGTGGGAACAGATTTATAGTGACCCTAGAAGGACTTTCAAAGTAAGTGAGATATTTAAAGAGTGTCTTTACCAGTTTGAGTTTCCATGGCTGAGTGGGGATTCGAACCCAGGCCTCTTGAGTCCTAGTTAGTCCCTCTATTGACTACTACACCACACTGGGTAGCCCCCAAAACCCATTAACACTCAAAAATATGTCAACCAATGTGTGGGCCAGGTTCTTTGTTTAAAACACACTCCTCGCCTCTAGAACAATCTGCCTCTGGAGATTCGTGCAG